CATCATCGAAGAGCTGCCTAGTCAGTGGGGTTCCCCCGTTACTCTCGTCGCGCGTAAAGATGGTTTACCTCGTTTTTGCGTCGATTTCCGAAGCACCGTCAACAAGCACCTCATTCGCAAGACCTGGCCTCTAGCGAACATGGAGTCCAACCTTGACTCTGTCGGCAGCGCCAAGTTCATCAGCGTTGCAGACGTCCAGTCAGCGTACTGGCAGATTCCTGTTCATCCTGACCACGTCGAAAGGACAGCCTTTGTCACCAACTCTGGCAAGTACTGTTACAAGCGGATGCCGTTTGGTGTTTGTAATGCCCCATGGATTTTTACTGAGATGGCCCATAAAACGTTAGGTCATATTCCCGAACTGTTGATTTACATGGATGATTTCTGTGTGCTTTCAGCAACTTTCGAGAATCATATGAAGTCTTTGGAGAGCATGTTCGTAGCTCTCCAAGCAGCAGGTCTGACATTGAAACCTTCGAAGATTTCGTTTGGCCCCAAGTCCATCGAGTATTTGGGACATATTATTTCGGCTGAAGGTATTTCTGTCGGGAAGGATCGTATCAAAGCCGTCCAAAACCTTCCTACTCCTCGTTGCCTAAAAGATCTTCGCTCAGTACTCGGGGTGGTTAATTTTGTGCGCCGGTTCATACCGGATTATGCAGAAATAACCAATCCGTTGGTGGAGTTAACTCGCAAAGAGTACGCCACAAAATCACGTTTCGTAAAAGCTTGGAACAAATCGCACGACGCATCGTTCGCTCATCTAAAGCGGTTATTAACTTCAGCGCCCGTTCTACACTTCCCAGACTTCGATCGGGAATTTGTAGTTCATGTAGATGCATCCGAACATGGGTGTGGCGCGTTTCTTGCCCAGCCGTCCAAGGCTGATCCAGAATCTCTTGACATGATTGCGTATTATAGTCATAGATTCAAACATGGACAGCGTCATTACTCTGCGTCTATGAAAGAGTGTTGCGGTGTGGTTCTTGCAATTTCGCATTGGCGACCGTACTTATTTGGGAAACACTTTACGGTGATCACGGATCATCAAGCGTTGACTCATCTTTTTTATATGCAAGACACCAGCAACATGCTCACTCGTTGGGCTATCGCTCTTCAAAATTATGATTTTACCGTCAAACACGTAGCGGGAAAGTTGAACGTCGTACCCGATACGTTATCTCGTTTATTTGGCGAAATTGAGACCGAAACCATATCACACAAACCGGCCCTAGCGTCGATTTGTAGGAATGTGCCGAGTGATCGTCCGTACCATCCTCCTGGCCCTCGTGACTACGAAATTTCTGCCGATTCGTTGAACGATGTTGATATCGTCCATGATGACAACGAACTGTTTGCTAGTGCTGTATCGTTATTTCCTGTACTGGATCCCGCTAAATTGCGAAGAGAACAGTACCAAGAGTTCGGTCCGTATATCGACTACGTCAAGAAACCCAAAACAGCACCGTTACCGTCTAGCGAAAATAAAGGCACCATGAGTAATTACTTCTTGAATGAGAACGTTTTATTCAGGTCGTACTTACCAGGGTATCTTCGTAAACGCAGTTCGTTTCGTGATCAACTTGTCGTTCCTACCGTTTTGCGTGCGTTAGTCTTGGATTCTTGTCATGATGCTCCTGCGTCAGGGGGTCATCTAGCGTTCAAAGCCACGTACGATAGACTCAGAGATCGTTTTTGGTGGCCGACCATGTCTAGAGATGCGTCCAAACACATCCAGCATTGTTTGTCGTGCCAACACCGAAAAACGTCCCACAGACGACCGTTATCACCTGTGGGTCATCGTCCCGTTACTCGTCCGTTTCAGTGTGTCGCGATCGATCTCGTTGAATATAACTCCGTATCGCAGGGTTGCAAGTACGTCTTGTCGGTCATCGATCACCTGACTCGTTTTCTCGTGTTGATTGCTATTCGTGATAAAAAAGCAACAACAATTGCACAGGCTCTCGTAGAGCGTGTCTTTTCCGTTTTTTCTCCCCCTGAAACGTTACACAGTGATCAGGGCACTGAGTTCGAGAATGAGTTGGTTAAAGAGTTGCAGGCCGTGTTTGGTTTCAAAAAAACTCGGACGTCCGCGTATCGGCCGCAAGGTAACTCTGTATTAGAGCGCGTGCACAGCACAATGCATGGCATGCTCGCAATGTATGCAAACGTTCGGTTTGATAATTGGGCTGAGCTTTTACCGTTTGTGCAACTCGCCCATAACACCGCGTACAACCAAACTCTTGAGGAAACTCCTCACTATCTGATGTTTGGTCGCCAGGCTTTGCTTCCCGTGGATGTCATTCTTGGTGTACCGTCTCATGATAGCTCTGCTTCGCGTATGGAATATTCACGTCGTACCGTGGATAACTTGCAACTTACTCGCGTATGAGATCGCTCGTCGTAATTTGAAAGAGCGAACTGACAAGCAAGCAGACTCGAACGAAAATTTATCCGTACCGCAGTTTACTCCTGGGGAACAAGTTCTCGTACATCGTCCCCACACCGTTATGGATGGCCCCAATCCCAAGCTGATCAGCCCTTGGCATGGCCCATTCACCGTTCGTTCAAAAGTATCACCCGTCATCTATCGTGTTTGCAAAGACGGAGAACTCGCGGAAACGTCAGTACACTTGGGTCGTATGAAAAAGTATTATGCTTTTCAACGTGATTCTGTCCCCGATTTTTCTGAATTGGATGAGATGTTTTTGGGACAAACCCTTCCAATTCCCGATTTGGATGGTACCGTGTTTACCGTAAAAATTGGACCGTACGTCGTCGAGGGGATAGACAAATTTAAACGTGGAGCAGGAAAACCGTCTCTCCATAACTTCCAATATTATTTCCTCCTCAAAGACCGTCCTGAGAGTCTTGGGTGTTGGAAGCACTTCAAAGAGGTACCCCAGTGTCATGAGATGATCTGTTCATATCCAGCGTGCGTTCTTCGTGATAATCCGCACGCCTTCTTTGATCATCCTCCTAGAAAGCAGCGCTCGTAGCTGCTTCGTATCGTGTCTCGTGCTGCGTTTGCCTCATTCGTTTCGTGTTTCGTTTATTTTCCAAGGGCTATGTTTATTTTTATATTTCTGTATGTACATACTTCGTATTTTTTATTGTTCGTCGTCCAGCACGATCGTTTCGTAGTGCCCGCCGTCCCCAACGTTCCTTCGCAGTCCGGCCGGACATTGACGTTGTTGGTGGATACGCCTACGTTGTATGCACCACCTCGTGGAAGTCGGCAGGCGGAGCCTAGTTTGCGTCGAGATTCGCCCCCCGCGAACCAAGCATGGTTGCGTGTCTTCGTTTCGTCGGACATGCATACTAGCGCACGTCCTTTTGAAGGTATGGCGTTGCCCGTTTGTTGTGTGATATAATCTGACTATATATATTTCTCTGTTTGAATGCCGTACGACATAGTACCTCGTGCGAGCTGCGTAAACGTTTTCAATTATGATTGGAACGTACGTCCGCGTATAGACAATCGTGCGTGGTGTGAAACGTCCATTGCCGTTGTGTCGCTGTCCTTGAGATACGAGTGCGTCGCATTGGGTCAGTTGATGCTTTAT